CTCAGAAAATAGAAAGCAAAGACTAAATTGATGATGACAGTAATAATATTTAGAACCTACAGTATATAGCAATTACCATGTATCAGGCACTGGATTGAGCCTCACAACTACCCGAGGAAGGTACTATTATTAGTCTCCAAAACACAAAATAGGAAAGTTAACAAATTAAATGATCAAACTGAAAGACCAAAGAATAGAAGGGTTAGAACCCTTGTCTTTTAGAAATCCATGTGAAACATTTACTGACACTGTATGCTGCCTTGGCTCCCCAGAGGAAAATACAGGGAGTAACTGGGGATGTATATGAAGTAAGAAAAGAACAGAAAAGAAGTTCTGGAACAGAGAGCCTTACAGGACTTTCTTTTACTGTTGTTCTATTACAATTGTCCCGATTTCCCCTGTTGCTCTGCCCTGCCCTGCCCTTCCTTCCCACCTTCCACAGTCAACCCCCACCCTGTTGTTCATGTCCACGGGTCATTTATACTTGTTCTTTTTTAAAAAATATATTTTACTGATTATGCTATTACAGTTGTCTCATTCCCCCCCACCCTTTATTCCCCTCTGGCCTGTGTACCCCCTCCTACCCATATCCCTGCCCCCCCCCATTTAGTTCATGTCCATGGGTCATACATATAAGTTCTTTGGTTGCTACATTTCCTATACTATTCTTAACCTCCCCCTCTCTATTTTCTACCTACCATTTATGCTGCTTATTTTCTGTACCTTTTCCCCTCTCTCCCCACCCACTCCCCCTCTGATATCCCTCCATGTGATCTCCATTTCTGTGATTCTGTTCCTGTTCTAGTTGTTTGCTTTTTGTTTTTTTGTTTTAGGTACGGTTGTTAATAATTGTGAGTTTGTTGTCATTTTACTGTTCACAGTTTTTTATCTTCTTTTTCTTAGATAAGTCCCTTTAAGATTTCATATAATAAGGGCTTGGTGATGATGAACTCCTTTAACTTGACCTTATCTGAGAAGCACTTTATCTGCCCTTCCATTCTAAATAATAGCTGTGCTGAACAGAGCACTCTTGGATGACGGTTTTTGCCTTTTATGACTTCGAATACTTCTTTCCTGCCCCTTTTTGCCTGCAAGGTTTCTTTTGAAAAATCAGTTGAAGGTCTTATGGGCACTCCTTTGTAGCTAAGTGTCTCATTTTAAGATTCTCTCTTTATTTTTCATCTTGGTTAATTTAATTATGATGTGCCTTTGTGTGTTCCTCCTTGGGTCCACCTTCTTTGGGACTCTGAGCTTCCTGGACTTCCTGGGAGTCTATTTCCTTTGCCAGATCGGTGAAGTTCTCCTTCATTATGTTTTCAAGTAAGTTTTCAATGTGTTGCTCTTCCTCTTCTCCTTCTGGCACCCCTACAATTTGGATGTTGGAAAGTTTAAAGATGTCCTGGAGGTTTCTAAGCCTCTCCTCAATTTTTTGAATTCTTGTTTCTTCTGTTCTGGTTGAATGTTTCTTTCTTCTGATCCACACCAGTGATTTAAGTCCCGGTTTCCTTCCCATTGCCGTTGGTTCCCTGTACATTTTCCTTTATTTCACTTAGCATAGCCTTCATTTTTTCCTCTAATTTGCAACCATATTCAACCAATTCTGTGAGCATCCTGATTAACAGTATTTTGAACTGTGTATCTGATCGGTTGGTTATCTCTTTGTTGCTTAGTTATATTTTTTCTGGAGCTTTGATCTGTTCTTACATTTGGGTATTATTATTATTATTATTATTATTATTTCTCAGTGAGCCTATTATGTAGTAAGGGGTGGAGCCTTAGGTGTTCACTAGGGCAGGACAACCCACGATGCTATGTTGTGACACTGTCTGTAGGGGAGGGGGTTGAGAGGGAACAATGCAGCTCGCTCCTCTCTCTGCTGGTTTTCAGTCACTTCCCCAGCTACCCACAAGCAAATTTGGCCCTTCTGGTCCCGATTCCCGGGTGGGTGGGTTTGTGTACATTCTAGGGCCCTGTGGGTCTCTCCAACGAACTCTCCTGTGAGGCTGGGAGTTTCTCCCACTGCTGCCTCAACCCCCACAGGTGTTTTCAGAAGTTTGAGGCTTTATTTCCCTGCACTGGAACCCTGGGTTGCACAGTCTGTCTCGCTCCTGAGTTGTTCCTCCTGGTTTACCTGCACATGAATGTGGGACTGCCCGCTCTGCCAGCCGCTGCCCTGCCTGCCCTGGTCCTCCAGCCACTGCCTCGCCAGATCTGCCAGCCATCCGCCAGCCACCACTTTACTGCGAGTCCTCTCTGCCTGTCTCTGCCCCGCCTACTGGTCTGTATGAATGTTTCTTCTTTAACTGCTTGGTTGTCAGACTTCCAGACAGTTTGATTTTCTGTCAGTCCTGGTTGTTTTTTGTTTTTAAATTTGTTGTTCTTCTTTTGGTTGTGTGAGGAGGCACAGTGTGTCTACCTACGCCTCCATCTTGGTGGGAAGTCCTATACTTGTTCTTTAGCTAAGCCCTTCCCCTTCTTTCCTAACATTTAAAGATCCAAAGGTAAGCCCTGGCTGGCATAGCTCAGTGGATTGAGCATGGGCTATGAACCAAAGTGTCGCAGGTTCAATTCCCAGTCAGGGTACATGCCTGGGTTGCAGGCCATGACCCCCAGCAACCACACATTGATGTTTCTCTCTCTTTCTTTCTCCCTCTTCCCTCTCTAAAAATAAATTAAAAAAAAAGCTTAAAAAAAAGCTTTAAAGACCCAAAGGTAGGTATTTTACTTTTCAGTTATAATAAAGCCACAAAATAATATATATTTGAAACAACATTATATATTGTTACAAAGGTATATTTAAAGGATAACAGGTTCTTGCCTTATGTGCAGTACATAGAGAGCTTTTGTTATGTTTACTACTGAAAGTACGTGTTATGGGAGAAAAGATTTTTTTCATGTAAATTGATGATTATTTGTGAGCTATAATTGCTTGAAAAGGTTTTTTGGAATCAGAACAAAGGGAGAAAAGGTGAACAGAAGAGAGTGATCAAGTTCACTAGCTCCCAAAGGAATGTTAAAATAACATTAACACTTCTCAAAACTTAAGAAGTCTGATGATATCAAAAGATAAGGGCCCTGGCTGGTGTGGCTCAGTGGATTGAGTGCTAGCCTGAGAACCAAAGGGTCACCAGTTTGATTCCCATTCAGGGCACATGCCTGAGGTGCAAGCCAGGTCCCCAGTAGGGGGCGTATGAGAAGCAACCACACATTGATGTTTCTCTTCCTCTCTTTTGCCTTCCCTTCCCCTCTCTCTAAAAATAAATAAATAAAATATTTTTTAAAAAAAGAAGGAAAAAAGAACTCTCACCTGCTGCTGGTGGAAATATAAATTAATAAAACCTCTTTGGAGAGCCATTTTACACTTCTAGAATAATTTAAATCCAGCTATTCCACTTCTGAGTATATAACTGTCCTGAAGGAACCATTACACATGTGCAACAGCGAACAGACATTCAGAGCAGCACTGTTACTATTAGCAAAAACTGAAAATAGCCTAAACGTCCATCAATGGGGGAAAGAAAAATGAGATGATATATCCATGTGATAGAATACCATCCACTAGTTAAAATGTATATTTATCATAATGAGTGTATTTCAAAAGTATAATGATAAATGAGAAAAAGGCACAGAACAGTATGTATAGTGTAATGCCATTTATACAAATTTTAAGATTTGTGATATTGGTTTCCTCTGGGGATTGAGAGAGAAGGGGATGGAACTGGGGATGGAACATATTAAAGGAGCTTCAAGTTTAGTAAAAATGTTTTATTTATTTTATAATATAAAAATTGAGGTAAATATAACAAAATATCAAATTGTATTGGTTCTGGGTGATAGGTACATAAGCATCTACTGTATTATCCTATGTACTTTTATCTCTGCAATTGGAGGCAAAAAGAGACTGTGTATACAGTGATTTATTCATGTAGGCAAAAAAAGCAGAAATAAGCAATGTTTTCTGATGTTGATTTAGTAAAGAAAATAGTGAAAATTTAGTAAGTTTCTCATGGTCAACTGACCATGCATGCATCTTTTCAGTATGCTGCACAAAAAACAGAGAATAAAAACAATAGGGGACGAACAAGAAACTTTCAAAGCTGGCTGTAAAATGTCAGAGTATTTACTTAAGCTTTCAAAATGACAGATAAGATTAAACTATTTCTTCATGGTACTGAATACTTGGCTTGTTGAAAAGGCTTATAGCTAAGTGATATGTCCAGTATTTAAAGAGCCTAAATACATTACTCTAGGGCTGAAATAATAGTTTCTTTTAAAGTTAAGAAGATGTGATACAGTTTGTCATATTTTTACTCTTTCCTAATGCATGATTATTTTCTTCAGTATCTGGAGAAAGAAACTGATAATATATTAATTATTACACATATTTGAAAACCATATCCAAGTGTTAAATGAAAACTGAACATAAAGCAATACCTTCACAACTAAATACAACCAAATAATGGATTAGGTACTAACTTGGCACCAGCTTTTAAATTGAAACATTTAGTCTTCTAACTGAATGTAGTGTCTGACAGAGTTGAAAATACTCTTCAGTGAAAAATTTCTCCATAATTTCTGAGTGCATATTCAGCCTAAATTTATGGTAGTCACTTGCTGCCATTCTCAACAACTGTAATTCTGAATTAGGACTACTTCATTTAACAGAAATTAACAAAGAACAGAAACCAACTGGATATAAAATTTAACCTATGACTCAACTCTCAAGTCACTCTGTAACTGTTCAAATGAGGAAATACATTCTAACTTTTAAATCAAGCAGCTTTATGTATAGATTTTGCCATTATTTCAACAACAAGGGCAAAAGAAAATAAATAATAAAATAATGATAGTAATATTTTGCATTTTGTATAATACCCAAAGTAAGATGGTAAAAAAAAAAAATCAGAGCCAAGACTGTTCTTCCTATTCATGAAACCAGTACTGATAATAGCAAGAGCATCTGTATTAATTAGGTGGCTGTAAGATAATGGCCATCTTACCCAGCTGGTTCTTCATGCCCATGAGCACAGAGTTCATGTGAGCTTTGGATGCATAGAGCTTGCTTACAGCCTTCCTTGACCTGATCATCTCCTTGGCCAGAACCACACAGACATCTTTCTGACCCTTCTTGGCAGCATCTTTCACAGACCGTTTCACTTTTTCTTCTTCTCTTTGAATATCTAGTTTAAAGCACAACACAAAACATCAAAAAATTAAGGGCAAATCAGGAGATGTACTGGTACTCAAATCTGTTCTTAGTGCGATCTAAATATGTCTGTTAAATACGAAAACAGGTGGGAAGGAGGATATCCACAATTTTTGTTCTTTACAGGTAAAACATTAGAAATAAAAATATATCTTATTATACTAAGACAAAATTTCAAAACTGCTTTGGCAGACTCTTCCTAATGTTTGTTTTTATTGGTACTAAGGAACTTTAACTCTGCAAAATGCATTCCAGAGCTTGCTCTAATAATCAGTAAGTAGTATTGCCACAATTGTGGGAGCACAATCTCTGTAGTCACTAATGACTTATAAAAACGTGCAACTTAAGGAATACCGAGCTTATTAAAAATATCATAACAGCATCAAGTAGTGTTAAGATATGTATATGTGTTTTATGAACCATCAAGATTATTTTTATACCATCTTAACCATTTTAAGTACTCAGTTCAGTGGTATCAAGTATATTAGTACTTTTGTGACCCATCACATCCACCCCCATCCACCTCCAGTTTTAAACTGAAACTCAAACCCATTTAACAATAACTCCCCATTTCCTCCTTCCACCAGCCCATGGCAACCACTTTTCTACTTTCTGTCATTATGAATTTGACTATTCTAGATACCTTATATAAGAGGAATCATACAATATTTATTTTTTTATATGAGACTGGCTTATTTCATTTAGTATAATGCCCTCAATGTTCATCCACATTACAGCACACATCAGTTTCCTTCTTAAGACTAAATAATATTCCATTGCATGTATATACCAAATTTTGTCTATCCATTCATCTATCATTGGCCACCTGGGTTGTTTCTAACTCTTAGCTACTGTGTATATGTGCTGCCAAAGTGAGCACCTTAGTTAATGTGAATAATGCTGTTATAAATTTGAGCATATAAATATCTTTTTGAGACCTTGATTTCAAATCTTTTGTGTATATGTTTATTTCACCATGGACTGGGTGGCTTAAACAACATAAATTTATTTCTCATAGTTCTGGAGGCTAGGAAGTCTAAGATCAAGGTACCCAAAACCAATTAGTTTCCTGGTAAAAACCAACTTCTTGGTTTGTAAATGGAAGGCCTATTGCTGGATCCTCATATGGCCAGAGAGAGATCATCTGTTGTGTCTCTTCTTATCAGGGAACTAATCCCATTAATGAGGGCTATCCCCATACGACCTAATTACCTCCTAAAGATCTCACCTCCAAATACTACTAACACATTGGGATTAGGGCTTCAACATATAAAATTTGGGAGAAACACACATTTAGTCCATATCATTCTATCTCTGGCCCTCCCAAATTTATGTCCTTCTTACATGCAAAATGCATCCATTCCACTCCAATAGCCCCTTCACTTCAGTTTTTTTTGTTGTTTTTATTTTGGTAAAAGTTTGAGAAGAATTGCTGTTAGTTCTTTAAATGTTTGGTAGAAATCACCAGTGATTTTTAGAGCGATCATCAGGTCTACAGCATTTCTTTTGTCAGATTTTTGATAACTGATCTCTTTAGTTTTTTTTCCTTGTTTCAGCCTTCACAGATTTTATGTTTCTAGGAATTTGTTTTATTTCCAGTTTGCTGGTGTGCGATACAACTGTTCACTGTGCTTCCTTATAGTATTTTTTTTTAATTTCTGTAGAATCATTAGTAATGCTCCCTTTTTCATTTGATTTTAGGAGTTTGAGTCTTAATCTAGCTAAAGGTTCATCAATTTTTTTATTGATCATTTTGAAGAATTCAGTTTTGACTTTTCTCTAATTGTTCTTCTATTTTCCATTTTGTTTATTTCTGCTCTAATCTCCATTATTTCCTTTCTACTGTTAGCTTTAGGTTGAGTTTGCTCTTCTTTTTCTAATCTAAATTGTAAAGTTTAGGTTGTTGATTTGACATCTTCTTTTTCGATGTGTTTTTTACAGCTACAGCTATAATTTCACTCTGAGCACTGCTTTTGCTGCATCCCATAAATTTTAATTGGGATATTGTGTTGTGGGTTTCACTCACCTCTAAGTATGTTCTAATTCCCCTTGTGATTTTTTGTTGTGTAACACTGTTTAATATCTACATACTTGTGAAATTTCCAATGTTGTTACTGATTTCTAACCAACCACCATATGGTCAAAGATGACACCTTATATGATATCTATTGTTTAAAAATGCTTGAGACTTGATTTTTGGCCTAACATTTTGGTCTATCCTGGAAAATGTCCCATGTGCACTTGAGAAGAATGTGTATTTTATTGTTTAAGGGTAGAAATTCTCTTTATGTTTATTAGAGCTAGTTGATTTATTGTGTGGTTCAAGTCCTCTATTTCTTTATTTACTCTGTCTGGTTGTTATTATCTGCTTTTGAGACTGGGTTATTAAAGTCTCCAACTATTATGGTAGAACTACTTCTCCTTTTAATTCTGTCAATTTTTGCTTCATAAATATTTTGATGATTTGTTATTAGATGAATACATGCATGTAATTGTTATTTTCCCATTGTATTACATTGTTGTTAACATATAATGTCCTTCTTTGACTCTTAAAATCTTTTTTGATTTAAAGATTTGTCTTATATTAGTATAGCCACCTCTACTCTTTTGGTTACTATTTCCATGGAATATCTTTTTTCCTGTCCTTCCACTTTCAACTAATTTGTATCTTTGGATCTAAAGCAAATCTCTTCTAGCCCTGATCTGGTGGCTCAGTTGCTTAGAGTGTCCTCCTGTGTACCAAAAGACTGTGGGTTCAATCTCTGGTCACAGCACATACCTAGGTTGCAGATTCAATCCTTGGTCAGGGTGTGTATGGAAGGCAAGCAATCAATATTTCTCTCTTACACTGATGTTTCTTCCCACCCCCTTAAAATAAATAACCACATCCTTGGATGAGGATTTAAAAAACAAATAAATAAATGAAATAAATTGGAAAAAAATAAAGTGAGTCTCTTCTAGATAGCATAATAGGGTCTTTTTAAAAAAAATCCATTCTGCCAAGCTCTTTTAATTGCACAGTTTAATTCATTCACATTTAATGTCATAACTGATAAGGAAGGACTTACTTCTGCCATTTTGTCATTTTTTTCTGCAGACCTTCGTATTTTTTTTTGGCTTAAATTTCCTGTATTAATGTCTTCTTTTGTGTTTACTTGCTTCTTTTTTATAGTGAAACTGTTCAAGTCCCTTCTCATTTGTTTTTGTGTATAATCTATAGCTATTTTTTGTGGTTAACATGAGGATTACACTTAATATCCTAAAGGTATAACCCTAATTTGAATTTATATGAGCTTAACTTCAACAGCATACAAAAAGTTTACTTCTATAGAACTCTGTCCTCAGGCCCATTCAGTTATTTATGTCATAAAAGTATACCTTTATGCACTGTGTTCAAAAGCATAAGACTCATAATTTTTAATGCACAAGTCTCCCAAATCACATAGAAAATAAAAAATGGAGTTACAAACCAAAGTTACAATACTAGTTTTTGTAATTGCCCATGTATTTACCCTTACCAGATACATATTTTTCTTGTTTTGTTTTTTTGTTTTTTCATGTGGCTTCAAGTTACTGTCTATTGTCCTTTCACTTCAACCTGAAAGATATCCTTTAGCATTTCTTGCCAGGGAAGTCTAGTAGTAACAAGCTCCCTGAGCTTTTGTTTATGTGGGAATGAATTTCTCTCTCATTTTGCTAGAGATAGGACTGTTGATTGATAAGACTTTTTTTTCCTGTATTTGAATGTATCAACCCACTGCCTTCCAGCCCTCAACATTTCTCATGAGAAATCTGCTAAAAATCTTATAAAGGATCCTTTGTATGTGACAAATTGTTTCTTGCTGCTTTAAATATTCTCTTTGTCTTTCTATAGTTTGATTAGAATGTGCCCAGACATAGGTCTCTGAATTTATCCTACTTAGGAGTGTGTACAGTTTCTTGGATGATTATATTCATATTTTTCATAAAACCCAGGAAATGTCTGTCATTATTTCTTAAAATAATCTCTCTGCCCCTTTCTATTTTTCTTCTGGAACTCCCACAATATGTACATTTGGGTATTTAATGGTGTCCCACAGGTCCCTTTGGCTCTGTTTATTTCAAAATTTTTCCTTCTGTTCATCAGAGTCGACTGTTTCAATTGTACTATTTTTCAAGTTTAGATTCTTCTGACTGCTCAAATCTGTTTTTAAACAACTCTATCCAATTTTTCATTTCAATTATTGTTCCTTTCTATCTCTTTATTGATATTCCCATTTTGTTCATATATAATTTCCTTGACTGCCTCCATATCTTACTTTACACACCTTTAAGATTGTTGTTTAAAGTCTTTTTTTTTTTTTTAGTAAATCTGTCATCTCGTCTTTCTCAGGAATATTTTCTGTTGAATGGGCAATAATTTCTATTTCTTTGTATGTCTTGTGATTCTTTTATTGTTGTTGAAAATGAAGATTTGAATCACCACATGATAACTCTGGAAATCAGATTCTCCCACTTCCCCAGGATTTGCTGTTTGTTTGTTTTTTTTCATTTTTATTTTTATTGTTGTATGGTGTCTCTGCTGAAAATCAGCTTAAGGTATAAACTTAAAGACTTCTCAGGTCTTTTCAGAGTCAGCATGTTTCCCTGGGCATGCACAGTGACCTTTCTATATTCTCCTTTATATGTGGTTGCTTTGCATCTTAGTCCTTGATGTTAAAGATGTGAAATAATGTAGTCCTGTGGAAAACACCATGATGGTTTCTCAAAATTTAAATACAGAATTACCATTTGACCCATGAGTTACACTTCTGGGTATACAGACACAAGAATTTAAAGCAGGTACTCAAACAGATTTTGTACACTCATGTTTGTAACAGCCCAATCACAACAGACCAAAGGTAAAACAACCCAAATGTCCACTGATAGAAGAACAAACAAAATGAGGTTTATACACACAAAAGAATATTATTCAGTCTTAAAAAGGAAATTCTGATATATGTTATAACATGGTTGAATCTTAAAAGCATTATTGTAAGTAAAACAACACAGATGCAAAGAAAAAAAATAGTGTTTGATTCCACTAATACAAGGTCCCTAGAACTGTCAAATTATACACAGAGACAGAAAGTAAAACAGTGATTACCAGGGAAAGGGGGAGAGGGAGAAATGTAGAGTTATTGTTTAATGGTACAGAGTTTCAGTATGGAATGAAGGATTAGTTCTGAAGATGAATAGTGATGATGGTTATACAGCAATGTGAATAGAGTTAATGTTATTGAACTGTATACTTAATAATGGTTAAAAGAGTCAACTTTATGTCATGTATATTTTACTATAAGAGACAAAGAAAGCAGCAACAATGTTATAATCCATTTATTAACAAGTGTTTGTGTGTAATTTAACTACAACTATAGATAGAAATATATCTTGAAGGATGATCACCAAAATGTTCTTTCTGGATGGTATGCTTTCAGAGCAATTTTGGCTCTTATTTGTATTTCTCCACATCAATATGTTTATTATAGTTATGGGGAGGGGAGAAGCAAGCTAACAACGTTCCTTTGAGATGGGCAAAATGACCTAAATTTACTCCAATATTAACTATCATGAGTGCTCTGAATATGTTACATTTGACTGAAAGCTACCATGAGTCTTTCATGACATGAGAAGGACCTGTAGTTATACTTTGCTTTACTGAAGTTGTTTTTCTCTTTAAACTTTTTAGAAGTATATCATACTTACAAAAAAGTACATAAAACTGTAGAGCTATACAAATGTTCACAAATTAAACACACCCATGTAACTAGGAGCCAGATTAAAAGAACATTATCAACATGCCATAATCTCTCTTTATGTCCCTCTCAACTTGCCATGCTCCCAACAAGAGTAACCAATATCCTGACTTCTAAAATCAGGGTATTGCAGGTACTTGTTTTTGTGTAAGTATATATATATATATATATATATATATATATATATATATATATATAAATACATATATATATATATATATATATATAAAAATACATATATATTTATATATATATAAATCCAGTCATTGTGATTGCTAATATAAAACTAAACGGCCCTGGCCAGGTAGCTCAGTTGGTTAGAGTATCATCTTAATATGCCCTGGTTGTGGGTTCAATCTCTGGTCAGGGCACATACAAGAAGCAACCAAAGAATTCATAAATAAGTAGAACAAATCGATATTTCTCTCTCTCTCCCCCTCCCTTCCCCCATCCTTTCTCCTTTCTCTAACACCAATAAACAAATTTCTTAAAAAACCCAGCTGAAAGGGGTTAAAAGTGTTTCTATGATACTCATATGTAAGTAACATTTAAAGCCATCACATTATCTCAAAGTTTTTCTCAAAGTATCTGTATTTTGTCTAAAGTACTTTTTTGTGTGTGTCAGCATCAATATAGTAAACTCCCTACCATATGACAGGCATTGTCCTAAACACTTTATACACATTTGTAGATTTAATTGTCACAACAATTCCATGAGATTTAAAGAATTTTAATATGGATAGATGACTAACTGATAGCAAAGACAGGGTTTAAACCTCGTAGTATTAAAACTCCAAAACCCATAACCTTTTTCTGATACCATTTTAGAGTTAACTAATAAACTGCGATGTATGAGAAATAACAGGAAATACCATAAGGAGAAAGGGTTTGAAGATCATTTAAGAAGATAAGTGAGGTACAGATGTGAGAAGGTATACAATGAGCAGGAATAAAACATGGCTTTTTAGACACTAACTGAACTTAGAAAGTTTCTAAAATAACACCAATCAACTGTTTGTGCTATTGTCATAAAGTTTACTTCTTCACATGTTGTAAGCCCCATATTATTATTTCTACTTTAAAGTCAATAATTTTTCAAAGAAATTTTAAAAAGAGAAGAAAATTATTTATATTTATTTATATACTTACTATTTCCAGCATGCTTCATCCCCTGGGTAGACCTAGATTTGTACCTGGTATAATTTTCCTTCAGCTTACAACTTTCTTTAAAATTTCTTGTACTGTAGATCTGCTGGCAACAACTTCACTTGGCTTGCATATGAAAATATCTTTACCTTCACCTTTGAACGCTATTTTCATTGGATATGAAATTCTAGAATAATGTGGGTTTTTTCCTTTTATCATATTAAAGATGTTGCACTGTTTCTGACAAGAAATCTTTAATTATTCTTATTGTTTTCTTATTAAATGTCTTTTTCCTCAGACTGTGTTGTCTCTTTATTAACTTTCAGTAATTTGATTGTGATATGTCTTGGTATGGGTTTGTGTTAATCCTGTTCGAAGAATTCCTTGTACCTGTGGTTTTGCAGTTTTCATTAGCTATCACTTTATCTGATCTTTTCCTGATTCTTATCCTGAGGCTGAAATTACATGTTAGACCATCTGATATTATTCTACAGGTCACTGATGCTCTGTTCAGTTTTAAAACGTTTTTTTCTCTCTATAGTTTTGCTATCTTCAATTTCACTGATCTTGTTTGCTGTAGCGTCTAATTTTGCTTATTAAACCCATTCAGCGGTTTTTATTTTACTTTATTTCAGACTTTTCATATCTAGAAGTTCCATTTTGCCCTCTTCTATGTCTTCTTCTTATCTCTTATTATTATGTTCATATTTTCCCTTGAGTTCCTCAAGATATTTAAAATAGCTGTCTGGAATCCTTGTCTGTTTTTGATCATCTGTTTCTTTTCTGGGTCTGTTTATATTTCCTCATTTTTCTGATTTTGGATCCCACTTTTCTGCTTTTCCATTAATTCTTGAATGTCTAAATTTTTTGTTCTTTTGAAGAGCATTCGGCTTTATTTTGGAAGACAGTTAAACTGCCTGCAGATCAGCTTTTAAGACCCGATTTTGAGCTCTGTTGGTGTGGAGGTACAGTGGCCTTCAATCTAGGCCTACTTTAGCCTTAATATTAAGGCATGACCCTTCTGGGGTCTCTTCTGAATGTCCCTGATGTTCAACACCTCATAACTGTGTAGGATCAGAATTCTACCATCTTTCAGCTGTTAGCACTGGAAATTGTTTAGCTTATAGCTTCCTAGTAGTTATTCAGTCCTCACAATTTGTTCTTTGTCCAATCCCCTGAAATCTCATTCTAAGTATGCACAGCTTAGTATTCAGCTGAAGATTCAATGGGACCCCATGTAGATATCTGGAGCGTTTTCTCTGGGCAATGCCCTTCTCTCTGATACTCTGCCCCACAAATTGCAGCCACAGCAGCCTCCCTGATCTGTTTCCTCAACTCAATGAGATCACCATGTTCTGCCTGGAATCCCCTTCCATGTAATCTGTATGATCCAGAAAGTTTCTCCAGGTAGAAAATCAAGAACATGTAAGGGCTCTCTCCCTTTGTTTCCCTACTCTCAGGAATCAAAATTCTACACTGCCAGTTGTTCAATGTATGCAAACAGATGTTTCATAGACTTTGTCCAGTTCTTTCTTTATTTACAATGGTAGTGCAAGTCTGAAACCCTTACTCCATTATGGCTGGGAATGGAATTCCCCTGTCCAATTCCTTTTTTTTAAGGAAGTAATACTGGGATTTCTTTACAGTATTAATTTTTCTCCAAGGATGAAAGTGGCAAAAATCATAAAAGTTTTAAACATTATCTCTTTGCAACTCACCTTAATTTTCTAATTGATTTGAGAGAGGCAAACTGATTTGTTGTTCCACTTATTTATGCATTCACTGATTGGTTCTTGTATGTGTCCTGACCAGGGATCAAACCTGCAACCTTGCATATTGGGACAATACTCTAGACAATTGAGCAATTGAGCATAAAAATCACCTCAATTTTATGTGGTAATTTACAACAATTAACTTTACTTCAAAATACATTTTTTCTCAATTTACAGCTAGGCTAAAGTAGACAGGGTAGTGAAAATGGAAGTGCATTTCTTACTTATGTACAGTTTATTTAATCTGAATTCTATAAAATCATTTGTTTGTAAGTTGGAAGAGGTTTCTTTAGTTCTTCATTTTTAATAGCTTAAAACAACGTATTTATTCTTTTATAATTCTGGTGGTCAGAGTCTGAAAATCAATGTGTTGGAAGGACTGTGTTTCTTCTGGAGGCTTCAGGGAAGAATACACTTCCCTGTCTTTTCCAGCTTCCAAAGGACAACTGCGTTCTTTAGCACATGGCCCTCTTCCTCCATGTTCAAAACACATTATTCCCATATCTGGTGCTGTGGTCACATCTCCTTTGCACTCACTTTTCCCCAATATATTGCCTCCCTCTTATAAGGACCTTTGTGGTTACAATGGAACCAGCCAGATAACCCAGGATTATCTCCCAACTTCAAGATCTTCAATTTAATCACATCTGCACACCCCCTTTTGCCATGTAAGGTAACATATTCATAGGTTCTGGGGATTAGGATGTGGACATCTTTGGGAGGCCATTATTCTGTCCACCACAGTATGTGAGCACCTGCTTCATTTCCAACACTAACCTGGGTTCTAGAAAATCACAAATGAATGAACATGGCTCTTCTCCCTTGAATAATTGAATTCCAGTCAGACAAAGATTTAGTTCTAACAAAATACAAAGTTTCAGTTCATTAGAGTCCAGTTTTTCTTATAATGATTAGAAAGCAAAATAACTAGGACAGTTATAAACAATGTAAGGATCAACTATGTCTTACGATATGTAGAAGCAGCTTATTTTTATGAACTAATGCAAAATACACCAAGAGAGTGAAGAACAGGAGACATAAAATGGTAATTTACCTCTTATTTGCCTGTCAACAACTCTCATTTCCTTTCTTATCTTCAGTGACCACTCATTGACCTGGGAAAGATTTTAGAAAAGGAATTATGAGAGAAGCCAATTTCCTAATTCACCAAATTTTAAAGAATTTTATATTAATTCTACATTTATTCCAGGCACCAAATAAATAAGGCTATTTTCAAAACAGAGCTTTAGGGCAAATTCCATTCTTTCATATATTTAATCACAGTACCTAGAAGTCCCAAGTTATTCAAAGATTCTGTCTTCTTATCTGCCTTCTTATCTGAAGGCAGGCAGTAAAAATCATTTTATACAAGATCTCAGAGAGTTCAGTACCCTGCAGGTACAGAAAGATATTTCAAGAGTTACACGGGTATAGACACGTTTTAAGGGTACAGGAAGATTTTCCAACTCTCACAGGTAATTATTTCAAAAACTGCTCTCTGTCATAAGAGTTCACCTTTTCCTTCTCCCTTTTAACAATGCTTTTTCATTGCACAAAAGAAAGATATTCCTCTATTTTTGTCTCTTATTACTTTGATATAGTTCCTTGAGAGGCAAAATCCTTAGAGCAATAAATAAAAGGACAACTGGAAATACTGGTATGGTGGAGAAACTAGTGAATGACTGACTAATAGTTTCCAAACTCTTATGCAAGTATGAAGTGTTTTCCAATTTCAAAAAATTGAAAGGAAATGTGAGTTATCAACTGATAAATCATTAAAACTAAATTTTACACTAACTCACTATGTGCTTTTTGGTATATGGCACAGAAATTGAAAGAACTGAGCGACAATGATATAACAAAATGTCCATTACAACCAACTTATTTATATTAACAATGTTTCTCAGCCTGAGTCTAAAAAACATAAACTAGGACTTTTTTCTGGTTGCAGTGTCTCACTATGCAAGTATCTCGTGTACACCTGCAGCCATGCTACCCAAGGCTCCTCTGCAGTTGGTGCATGTGTTAGGACACAAGAAAACTGCCAGAGCGGTGGTACACTACAAATGGGGCAACTGCCTCATTCGATGAAGGGGTGCTCCCTGGACATGATCCACACACTGCAATACAAGCTACAGGAACCTATTCTGCTTCTGGGCAAGGAACGATAGCTGGCTTTGTGTCCATGAGAAGTATGTGTCACATGGCCCAGACTTATGCAATCTGCCAGTCTACCTTCAAAGCCCTGGTGGCCTATTGCCAAAAATATGTGGAAAGGATTCCAAGAAGGAGATCAAAGACATTCTCATCCAGTATGACCAGACCATCCTGGTATCTAACCTCCTTGGCTGCAAACCCAAAAATGTGGAGATCCTGGTGCCCATGATCACTACCAGAAATCATACCAAAAAGCCCATCGTGAGAATCAGGTTCACCTTGATAATAAACAATGGTTGTGATTTAAGGTTAAAAAAATAATAATAAAATAAAACAGGAATAAAATTGAAGTTGAACCCCTTAGCTTTCATTCATGGATACATGAACTAAATGGCATAAAAAACCCATACTACTAAGAGAAGATGTATTTCCAATAAATTTGACTTTTAATCATTTAATTGGTCATTATTTAACAAAACCTGTAAACATTTATTATGCAACAAGTATAATAACTCCACCCAGAAGACATATTAAGGTACTTAAAGATGTTTGGTTATACAATTTTAAAAAAATTTAATGTTAGATTGCTTCTGGCCAAGATGGAGGCACAGGTGGATGCACTGTACCTCCACGCACAACCAAAATAGGGACAACAACAATTTAGAAACAGAATAACATCCAGAAATGACAGAAAACTGACTGAATGGAAGTCGGACAACCAAGAAGTTGAATTAGACCCGTGCATCCAGACCGGTAGGAGGGGCGGAGATGAGCAGCCAGGCGCAGGTCAAGGCATGGAGAGCAGAGAGTGGTGGGACCGGCAGGTAAGGCATCTGAGAGCATGTAAGGCATCCAGGGTGCGCAAGACCGCAGCGGGTGGACCCTGAGTGTGCAGGCAGCAGCTGGCAGACGCTGGCCCAGGGGTGGCAACCGGCAACTGGCAGACCCAGTGAGGCAGCAATTGTAAAGCAAGGCAGTGCTCACAACCCAGGATCCCAGTGCTGGGAAATAGAGCCTTGGGACACTGATTGAGGTCACCTGTGGCAGTTGAGGCACACGGAGAGACACCCAGCCTCACAGGGGAGGTTCTTGGAGGGTCCCCTAGCGAGCACAAGCCCACCCACATGGGAACTGGCATCAGAGGGGCCCAGTTTGCTTGGGGGAAGCAGCAGAGGCGACTGAGGCCCCATGGAGAACGGAGCAACTGCCATTGTTCCCTCTCAACTCCGCCCCCACATACAACATCACAACCCACCGACTGGGGTGCCCTGCCCTGGTGAACACCTAAGGCTCCGCCCCTCACTCTAACAGGTGCAACCAGACCCCCCCCGAAAAAAAAGAGAGAGAGGGCTCAAACAGAAGAACAAATCAAAGCCCCAGAACCCATCATTTTAAGTGACCGAGAGATAGTCAACCTATCAGATGCACAGTTCAAAACACTGGTGATCAGGATGCTCACAGAATTGGTTCATTTTTGGTCACAAATTAGATGAACAAATGCAAGCTACGATAAGAAAAATGAAGGAAAATGCACAAGGAACCAATAGTGATGGGAAGGAAACTGGGACTCAAAACAATAGAGTGGACCAGAGGTAAGAAAGAAACAACCAAACAGGAAAGAATGGAGAAATAAGAATTCAAAAAAATGAGGAGAAGCTTAGAAACCTCCAGGACATCTTGAAACACTCCAACATCTGAGTTATAGGGGTACCAGAAGGGGAAGAGGAAGAGCCAGAAATTGAAAACATATTTGAACAAATAATAAAGGAAAACTTCCCCATTCTGGCAAAGGAAATAGACTTCCAGGAAGTCCAGGAAGCTCAGAGAGTCCCAAAGAAGTTGGATCCAAGAAGGAACACACCAAGGCACATCATAATTATATTAGCCAAGGTAAAAATGAAGGAAAGAATCCTAGAAGCAGCAAGAGATAAGGAGACAGTAACCTACAAAGGAGTTCCCATCAGACTGTCAGCTGATTTCTCAAAAGAGACCTTACAGGCAAGAAGGGGCTGCAAAGAAGTATTCCAAGTCATGAAAGGCAAGGACCTACATCCAAGATTGCTCTATCCAGCAAAGCTTTCATTTAGAATGGAAGGGCAGATAAAGTGCTTCTCAGATAAGGTCAAGTGAAAGGAGTTCATCATCACCAAGCTCTTATTTTATGAAATGTTAAAGGGACTTATCTAAGAAAAGATAAAAAAACATGTATAGTAAAAGGACAGCAAACTCACAATTATTAACAACCACAGCTAAAGCAAAACCAAAAGAAACTAAGCAAACAACTAGAACAGGAACAGAACCACAGAAAGGGAGATCACATGGAGGGTTAGCAACAGGGGAGTGGGAGGAGGAGAGAGGGGGAAAAGGTACAGAGAATAAGTATCATAAATGGTAGGTAGAAAATAGACAGGAGGAGGGCAAGAATAGTATGGGAAATGTAGAAGCTAAAGAACTTATGACACATGGACATGAACTAAAGGGGGGGAATGTGGGTGGGAGAGGGTGTACAGGGTGGAGAAGAGTGAAGGGGGAAAATGGGACAACTGTAATAGCATAATCAATAAAATATATTAATAAAAAGGAAAAAATTTAATGTTAGGTATATATACATTTTTTAATTTATTTTTAAAAATCCTTACCTGAGGACATTTTTTCATTGCTTTTAGAGAGAGGGAGAGAGAGAGAGAAACTTCATCCATTGGTTTCCTCCTGTATGCACCTGGACTGGGGACTGTACCCACCCGGACTGGGGATTGAATCCGCAACCTAGGTATGTGCCCTGACCAGGAACCAAACCCACAACTGGTTATAGGATGATGCTCCAATCAGCTGAGCCACAATGGCCAGGGCGGTATATATACATTTTTAAGTGAAATTTCACATAACACAATTAGTCATTAAAGAGCACAATTCAGCAACATTTAGGGTCTTCACAATGTTCTGCAATCACCGACTCTCCCTATTCTCAAAACTTTTTCAACATGTCAGAAGAGAACACTATGCTTTTAAATAGTCTATGTCCCATTTCCCCTATTCCTTTGCAATCACTAAGTGACTTTCTCTCTCTTTTGACCTTCTTATTTTGAGTATTTCATATAAAAGAAATCATAACATATGTGGCCTTTTGTCTGGCTTCTATCACTTAATATATTTTTGAGGCTCATCCATGTTGTAACATGTATCAATATTTGTCCTTTTTATGGCTGAAGTATGTATATACCATAACTTGTTTATCCATTCATCTGTTAATAGACATTTGGGTGGTTTCCATCTTTTCAATACTGTGAACAATGCCACTGTGAACATTTGTATACAAGTATGAGTACCTATTTTCAATTCTTTTGGATATACAAGTATACCTATGAGTGAAATTTCTGGGTCATATGGTAATTCTGTGTTTATGTTTTTGAGGAACTCCAAAACTGGTTTTCAAAGAGACTGCACCAATTTCTAGTCCCACCAGCAATGTACAGGGGTTTTTTCTCCATATCCTTGCCAACACTTGTTATCTTCCATTATTTTTTTATTATAGTCAATCTGCTGGACCTGTTAAGCAGGTTGTGGTTTAATTTTCATTTACTTAATGACCAGTGAAGCTGAATATCTTTTGTGTGCTGTTGACTATTTGTACATCTCCTTTGAAGAAATATCTGTTCATTTTTTCTATAGTCTTAAGTTCAGCTGTTTTTGTTGTTGTGTGAGTTCTTTACATATTCTCCTGTTAGAATCTTATCAGATATATAATTTGCAAATTTTTCCCATTCTCTAAGTTATCTTTTCACTTTCTTGATAATGCTATCTGATATACATCTTTTAATTATGATGAATTCTAATTTGTTTTTAATTCTGTGGCTTGTGCTTTTGGTGTCACATCTAAGAATCCATAGTCAGATAGGAGGTAATGAAGACTTAGCCCTAGGTTTTTTCCCAAGAGTTTATGCTTTTATGTCAAAGACTT